ATGTGACAATTATTCTACACTAGGATGGAGATATTTTCCTTATAAGTACTCGATATATATAGTCATACAATATTTTATTTCATAGAGGTCGTGCTTCAATATTTAAAAGTGGATAAAAGGAATAGTTGCTTTTTATCATAAAAATACTATGCTTGTTTATTTCTATATATTATTAAATTGTTTAGTTCGTTAAAACCAAATCTACGTGTCCAAGATGGCTCCTCTATTCCCTTGCTATTTGATATGTAGATTTTATGGTATTTTTCCTGAGTAGTAATGTTCGATATCCGTAAGTACATTCTATTTCACATGAATCAAGAACATCAAGGATGATCCAGAATTTGAGGTATCCCAATACTTGTATATTATCACACTTTTGATTACATATAGAATAAGGATGGATTTTACTTATGCAAAGCACATGTGCAGATTTTTCTATCATATTTACAGAGCCAACTACACATGTTTTCTATTTAATCTTAAATTAAATCTCCAATGTTTTATTTTCTTTATTATTTTTACTATTAGACTATAGGTTTCATACTTTTGCCATATTTAATAGTTATGTGTACTTTGTCTAAAAACATTACGCTATGAGAAAAAAAATCTACTATTTATTTTAAATAAATTAATAATTAAATTAAAATAAATTTAGAAAAAAATATATTAATACAAAATTGCATTGCCATAAGTAAATTTTTTACTTTAAATTATTCACATTTTTTCTCATCGGGGTGATGTAAAGTAGAGCATGTCAAAAATAAACTCTAACTGATGCACAATCATGTCATGGCATAACCTAATGTATATTGTTAAAAGCATTCACACTAAGGATAAATAATTTTGCATTCACTCATGTTTCCCTAGAATTGTGTTCCTGACTTCACTGCTTGATATAGTTGTATATGACTAAGAGTAACTAGTATGACAGGTTAATGGCAACCATGATCCAGCCAAAAAAAAAAAATTTTATTCGGTTGTTCTGGCTCCATGTAGTTGGACTATCTCATTCACTTATTTTCATAGACATTCTTTATAACTGCTAAGAATAATAAACACAGCATCTTTCAAGATTAATTGCTAGATTTCATGGAAGGGTCTATGTTTTTTTTTCCTTGGTTTGAGAACATGACTCCCTCCAGACAACACAACTCATGGCCGTTGACCGTGTCTAATGTCCAAGCGAGGTCAACTACCAATGCTGCTAAATAATGTTGATCTTAATAACTTAGAATGTGTTGAGAAATTAGGCAAATAAAAACAAGAATCGACACAAATCCAAAAGAACAAACAGAGATTTAATGATGTTTGGCAAAGATGCCTACATCCTCGGGAGCAGAGCGGCGGCTTTCTTTTTAATATTCAAAAAAGAGTACATAATACAAGATTTAACTCACCAAGGGTTACAGACATGACATATATATAACCTTATAATAAAATATGTTATTACTTAAATTACCCCCATACCAAACCGCAGGGTGTTGTCCCCGCACCCCCAACCCACATAATGAAACTCCCCCGACTGGACAGATCCTTCCGCTTCAACATCTGTCCCATTTATGATATATTTGTTATATCTAACAAATCTCCACATTGACGAATATTCAACCCCTTTAGAAGAAATACATATACCTAACAAATCTCCACCTTGGCGAATATTCTGCTCCTTAAGAGAAATATATCATGAAGTTTCTTATGCACCAATGTGCATTGAGCCACCACGCTTCCACTGCGCCCTCGCTCCCCCCAACCCACTAAATGTCACGAGACACTCTTCAATTCCAAGAGACTCCAAATTCTGGTATTTTGAATCATACCTAACAAATCTCCACCTTGGCGAATATCCAAGCCCTTAGGAATATATCATGGAGTTTCTTATGCACCAATGTGGGTTGAGCCACTATTTTAAATAATCCCTTAATTACGATTCCTTAATTAAGTTTCTCTTATATAAGTTTCCAAGAAGAAGGACATTCCCTTTATTAAATTTCCAAGAAGAAGGACTTTCCCTTAATTAAGTTTCCAAAAACAAAGGCTTTCCCTTAATTAAATTTTCCTTAATTAAACTTTTCCAAAAAAAAATTTTCTTAACTTTCAAGAAGAGCTCCCCTTTCTTTTCCCAAAAAACTCTTTTTTCCTTTCAAAAAAGCTCTGTCTCTGCTTTCCAGAAAAGGAAATCCATTGAAGGAATATTCCTCTAATGCAAATCAAAGATTCCCTAGATAAAATACCTTAATTAAGCATTAATTTAGCCTGCAGCAGAGATCCACCTTAATCATGCCTCCAGCAATTATTTCCTTGATTAAGCCACCATGCCTTCAGAAAAAATCAACTGAAGGAATATTTCGCGCCTTTAGTAAAGGAAAGAAAATCCCTTTCCAATTGCTCTTTCGCGCCTCCGTCCACCCAAGAACCTACCTCCCACACCGAACAACTTCTGCTCCTGCGACGCATGAAATTGCCTCAGACCTTCGTCGCCGAACCATGCCAGTTATCCGCCGAATTCAGCGAACGCCTCCCGCGCAAAAGCCTGCGTCGGTGCGGAACTCCCGTGTGAAACCTTGATTCTCCTCCTGCAAACAGCCTGCAGCAAACCGTATTCGACTTCGCCTTCGCAAACTCTTGTGTTGGCGGCAGCCTCCCGCGAAGAATCTTTCGCCCCTCCGTCCGGCAACTTCACACGAACGCCTTTGGCTTCGCCTTCGCAAACTGGTTCTCCAGCGCGATTCGCGCCCTTCGTTCGACGAACTCCTCGCTGCCTGCTCCAACAATCTGCCGCAAACCGCCAAAGTTCTTCGCCGAATCGTTGAAGCCCCGAAATTCACCGAACTCCTCCCCTCCATAGCTCTAGCAGCAAAGGAAGAAATGAAAGATTCCCTTCACAATTCTTCACCTCATCAACAAAAGAAAAAAAATTTCCTTAGCAGCCGCCTCTAGCAAAATTTCCTTTCTTCCCTGACCTCACCAGCAAAAGAGAAAATTTTCTAATCGAGAGTTCCCTTCCAAATTTTTAACCGGCAAGCAAAAGAATAAAATCAAAACTTAATTCCTTCCAATTTTTCTTCTCCGCCTCCCGCAAAGGAATAAAATCGGAACTTAATTTCCTTATAATTTTCTTCTCCGCCTCCCGCAAAGGAATAAAATCGGAACTTAATTTCCTTCCAATTCCAAACAGAAGGAATTTCCTTCTCTGAACTTTAGCAGGAATTTAATTTGCGTGAACTTTTCCTTCAGGAATTTCCTCCAAACTTTCCTTTTTCGCGTCCGCGTACAGTTTCATTTCCGGGTAATGGAAGATAAAGTTTCTTCCCATAGAAGTAGTCTTCTATCTGCATCCTCCGGTAACAAAAATCTGTGTCATTGAACTTCTCGATCCCCGATACCATTACTTTGTCTCCACCCATCATTCTTCTTTCAGCCTCGAACCAAATCTCTGATATTAGTTGTTGAGAAATTAGGGCGAAGAAAAACAAGAATCGACACAAATCCAGAAGAAAACACAGAGATTTAACGAGGTTCGACAAAGAAGTCACATCCTCGGGAGCAGAGCGGCGGCTTTCTTTTCAATATTCAGAAAAGAGTACAGAATACAAGATTCAGCTCACCTAGGGTTACAAACAAGACATATATATAACCCTATAGTAAAATATGTAATTACTTAATTTACTCATATACCAAACCGCGGGGTGTTGTCCCCGCACACCCAACCTACATAATGGAACTCTCCCGATTGGACAGATCCTTCCGCTCCACGCCACTCTTGGGTTTCGCTCCGCTCCAGCATCTGTCCCATTTATGGTATATGAGTCATACCTAACAGAATACTGTATCCATGAGATTCTAATCATATTATTTGTATCTTTTTCTTAATTCCTTACTTGCAACGATCACCCATTTGAAACCATTTGCCCCAATTGATTTTTGGTTATTCATTGATTATCTTTGCATAGGATCTTCTATATGGAAAAACAGTTATCTCATTTAATTATGATGATTCACTTTCTTCTTTATAAACTAACTCATCTTGAAGCATAAACTATCCTATTAAAATAATGAACTTTAAATCATAGTCTACCACTTGATACTTGCTCCATCAAATGATAAATCAAATAGGTTTTCTTTATTGAAAGTATTTCATGGAAGCGTCCTCGAGTATAATTAATTTTAGAGAGATTAATTCTCTGAGGGATAATCTAGGTCCTCTTTCTTTCTTTTTTTAATTTAATTTTTTAAAAAATATAATCATTAACATGATTTTTTTTGTGAGCAATTGACATGAGTTGAGATAAAATTTAGTGGTACTCTCTCACCGGATCTCTTTATTTCTCTTTTCATTAAATCTCTTGTGCGGAAAGGCATTGAAATATTATCACTCATCTTCTTTTAATTGGGTTTCATGACTTGTAATTGAATAATACAATTACAAATGAATTTAAAAAGATGCCCTTGTCTTAATTATCTTCCGTCTCTCACTTAATATTTTATTCTCCTCCATCAAAAATTTAAGAATTTCTAATCTCTATAATGTGATTCTAAAAGGAATCTCCATGCCTCATTCCCATACTCTTATATCCTCATGTTAAAACCAAGGACTACGCTTCTCCCTGAAGATAAAGGTTAAATCCAAATTAGCCCTTTCCAAGTTTCCTCAAGAAATAAGAAGCCCACTTCTTTTTTTTCTCAAGCACTAACTTTTCAAAATTCTCTCACATATAAAGGGTGCAATAAAGTAAATCTCCCGGAAAATGAGAAAGAATGATCAATAGAAATTCATCTAAAGGTGTCTACATTAAATTAGCATCAAACCAAATCAACTATAATAGTCACCACGAAAAAAACATGAAGATTTTGTTCATTCTTAGAGAGCTCTACAAGAAATGTTAAGCTGAGTTAAAATCAAATGGCATATGGCAAGTCGCCCATCATTACAAGCATAAAATCATGTGCAATGCATATGAAATATTCATGTTTAAAAAAGTAATCACTGTAAAAAAAATTACCTTTTCAATAGGTATGTCCGTTGAATTTTGCACCTTCAAATTGACAGTAACATCATTCATGTCAGCCGATCTACCTTTAACTTTAACAGTGCTTGGAAATTTACCCTCGTATCTTCCAGATATTATCAAGGGGCATTCAATTAAAAGATCTGGAAGTTTGTAAGGATATATCTGGAAAAATTAAAAAAAGAAGAGATAGCATGCACATTGAGTCTCGCTATAAAAACATATTTTGACACAAAAAATAGAGTATTTTTTCCTCAAAAACAAAGCAATGCTAAATGAAGATAAAGTAAATTAAAAGAGAAATAGCCATAAGATTATTAATATGCAATACTGTATAAGAGATGAGAACCCTTGCATCCCTACTTCAAATCGTTCACCAATGGGATCCAGAAAAAAAGTTAAATAAAAAAACTTTAGTTTCAAATGAAGGCAGGAGTTGAGTTTATTTCATTTACTTCCACAGAAATTGCCAGTGGCAAATTTTATGCTTGAAAACAGTAGCTAATAACATCATTAAGACTTTAATAACTAAAATTTTAATAAAAAAATAAAATAACAATAATATTAATAAATAATAATACTAATGATAAAAAAATTAAAAATAAATGTTACTTAGGAAGGTCGCACCCCCTCGCAAGAATCTTAACTCACGCTCCTTCCACACTTCCTCTCATTCAAAACAGAAAACCAAACAAGAGGGAAAGCAGAGAAATCGAGAAAAGAGATTGTGCCCTCGCCGAGTAAGGAAGAAGTCCTAGGAGAAAGCAGAAGAAGAAGCTATAGGAGAATGGGAGCTACTTCGGAGCAAGGAAGGAGAAGCAAAAAGAGAAAGAGAAAGAAGTGGTGTCAAGAGCTTACCTGGATCGCACCGTAATCGAAGACGTGTTGTCTTCGCGAGAGAAGCCGAAGCAGCGCAAGGAAGACTCCAACCTTGTGTGTGACTGTCAAGGTTGTTCAGCCTTACGAAGGAGAAGCAGAGGAGAAGACCTACTTGTCGTGCTCGCGTGCAGAAGAAGACGCGACGTGTAGGAGGGAATCGAAGCTCGGATCTGTTAAGGTGGAATTTTTATTCGGTACGTGCACCGCATGAAATCCTACATGCGGTACCGAATAAAAATTCGCCACGTGGAATTCGATTCCACGTGGCTTCACCTTAAAAATGTCAATTGTTTACCCTACCCGGCCCGAATCCCGCCCAAAAAAAAACGCATTTTTGTCCTTTTGGATTCCCACCAATTGAAAAAAAATGGCATTTTGTCTACTTTAGGGTTTAAGGATTCGGTATATTCTCATTTTTTGTCTCGTGTTCGCTGGAGCTGGTTCGATGAAAATAATTTTTTACGAATAAATGTTAGTGCTCTCAAAATACTCCTGAGAAACATAACAATGAGATGGAATCTCAGAATATTTCTGAGAATAATGAGATTGAGCAGATTTTAGATGCGGCAGAAAGACATCGGCAGGTACGTTGAGGACTTGTTTGAATGCAGTTCTAGGTTTTAAGGAATAATTTTATTGCTAATGAAGTTTGCCCTATTTTTAGATGAGTTTTAACGCAAAGTTTCGATTGGGTGGGATGTGGTGTTATTTAAGTAATATCATTGTGATACACTGTGATACTCTGTTTGTTTTTGCAGTTGCTCTCCATTTCTTATTGTTCATTAAAATATTAGTTGGGGTTTGATGTTATTTTGGTAGTATCACAGTGTTATTTTGGTGGTATCATAATGTAAACTGAATGTCTTGAGAATTTGATGTTATTTTGGTAGTATCACTATGTTATTTTGGTAGTATCACAATGAGTATCACAATTCATGTGGATTTGGTGTTACTTGGGTATTATCACGGTGATACACTAGTTATTTTTGCAGTTGTTTTCCATTTCTGGTTGTTCGTTATAATTTTTCACTAGTTATTTTTGCAGTTGTTTTCCATTTCTGGTTGTTCGTTATAATATTAGTTGTGGTTTTATGTTATTTTGATAGTATCACATTATTATTTTGGTAATATCATAATGTACGTTACTATCGTGGGGATTTAATGTTATTTTTGTAGTATCACAGTGTTATTTTGGTAGTATCACAATGTAATGTTACTGACGTGAGGATTTGGTGTTATTTTAGTAGTATCGCAGTGTTATTAAGATAATATTGTATCTACTGACTTGATTTTCTTTTAAGAGGCCAGTAACATTTCTTAACAGCATTTTATAGTATTATTATGGTATTATTATATTGTTATTTATGTACTGTAAAATTGTATTAATGATGTTTAAATCTGCAGTCACCCGAGGCAGAGAAATTGCTTAATGCAGTGGTCCACAACGAGAATAAAACATATGAACAATATTGTTTATATGCACACCATATTGGATTTACTGCGCGAAAGGAACACAGTGGTTTCTGGTCGAATTGAAAAAAGCTGAAGACAAAGGACTTTGTTTGTGATAAGGCTGGTTTCAAGAAAGAGTTGAAGGACACTATCACTGTGAGGTTCAAAAGAGCGGACACAAGGACTGGTTGTCCAGCAATGATCCGATTCTTCGTTGATTTAGAGGGCAACAGGTCAGTAAAGAAATTCATAGAAAGTCACAATCATCCGTTGGCGGAGGACGGTGACAAGCATCTACTGCGTTCCAGCAGAAAGATGTGTGATATCAGTGCTGATATCCTCAGAACAATGACAAAATACAACCTCCGCGGTTTCTTTAAGACAGGTTTATTTCTGTCGATCCGCCTGGTTTCATTGGAATCTTTGGCGGCATATTCCAATAAAACCAGCAGTAGTGAAGATTGAATTAGGGGTAGCTAATTCTCTCATACAATTGTTCACTACCCGACAAGCGGAGGATCCAATGTTTGCGTGGGACTTCCAAATTGATGAGGCATGATGTTTGGTGAATTTTTTATGATGCGACGAGATGTCCACGATTGATTACGACTGTTTCGGGGATGTAATAATATTTGATACAAGTTATAGACTGAATAAATACAATTTATGTTGTGCTCCGATTGTCGGTGTGAATTACCACTGGCATAATGTTCTATTTGGTGTTGGTTTTTTGTCAGATGAAACAATTGAATCATTCAAGTGGTTATTCAAAGCTTTTATCCGTATAATGGATAACAAGCATCTGATAACAATATTCACTGACCAGGACCAAGCAATGTCTAAAGCTATTGAAGAGTGTCTTCTGCAAACCAGACATAGATTATGTCAATGGCACAATTGAAGAGTGTCTTCTGCAAACCAGACATAGATTATATCAATGGCACAATTACAAGAAGTTATCTTCAAAAATCCATTGTGGCGTGGGTAGCAAGAGAGTCAATGATCTTTTTTATAAATGCTTGAGCAAATGTGACTCTGAAGAGGAGTTTGAAGAAATTTGGGGTGAAATAATTGAGAAAGGAAACGATCGAGAAAGGAAACCTACACGAGAATGTTTGGTTGAATGAATTGTATAATATCAGGCATAAGTGGTCAACCGTCTTCAATAAATAAATTTTTAGAATAGGGATCCTATCAACGCAAAAAAGTGAGTCCACTAATAAGAAATTGAGTCCATGAATAAGATTTGTCATGATGTCTCCAAGGCAACAAGCACCCTGACTGAATGTTCTTTGGGTCTTGAAAATGTCATCAAGGATTGGAGAAGAAATGAAAAGAATGAAGAATTTAAATGTCAGCAGTCTGTAATTTCTCTCACCGTTAAAAGCAGTCCAGTGTTGAGAACAGGTTTCTACACTTTACACTAGAAAGTTATACTCCATGTTTGAAGCACAGTTTCTACATCGTTTGTGTGGGCTTGCTGTGGAGTGTTCCAATACTATGAATTTAGATTTTCATATCCGAACTCTCGATAATAAAGACAGAGTCAGGCCCTGGATTGTTAAAGTGGACAGTGGTAATTCTGATATTACGTGTAATTGTAAAAAAATTGAAATGATGGGTTTAATATGTGCCCACGCTCTAAGGGTTCTTCAGCATAAAAATATTAGAAAAATCCCTGATAAATATATATTACTTCGGTGGACTATTAATGCGAAAAGGGACATATATAACAGTTATGGTTATGCAAATCGCAGTTTCAGAAATGTTGTCAAATTCTGCAACTGCACTCATCTATCTCAACCACATTCATAAATTTGCATACCAGATCGGCACCATAACACGAGGCCATGAACTTGCAGAGAAGCTAGTGTTGGAGGGATTTAAAATTAAATGCGAGGCGAAAGCCGCTATGAGAGACCATTCTGAAAAGTCAAAATCGAAGAAGAAGAAGACACTCAGTAAAGAGCGAAATATGAATGATCCCACGAAGATGCAGCCACAAGAAATATCCAATGCAAGGCTAAAAGGGTACTGGGAAAAAAATAAGAGATACAAAAGTAAATGTTACATATAGTATTAAGTTCTGTACTTTTTTTTATAAAAGATTACTCACTAACGGGCGGTATTGTATACAGGAAAGGAGAAAGATAATGTTTCAAGCCATGATAGCATTATGGAATGCGATCCAAATTTATTTTCAATGACGGATCACTTTACTCAGGTTGCGGAATCGATCATTCTAAAATTTTGTCTGCTTGATTTAGACTTCTTTCTTTATATTTACTCATTAATATTATCAATGAACAGGAAGTTTCTCAAACACAACAACTGGGGACATATACGAGCTTACTGATGGACATACATGATAATATATAGACTACTTATTGTTAAAATTGTTGTATTATTGTTGAAGTTGAAACAGACATTTGTTTTACTGTGTTTTTATTTACGAGTTATTATGACGGCATATTCCTATAAAACCAGTGCTCGTTATACGATTTACATGAATAAAACCTGAACACGACCGTAAAGAAACCAAAATACAACCAACGCTCGTGAGACACGACAGAAGAATAAAATCATAACACGACCGTAAAGAAACCAAGATACAACCTCCGCAGTTTCCTTAAGAGAGGTTTATTTCTGCCGATCCGTCTAGTTTCATTGGAACCTTTGGCGGCATATTTCAATAAAACCAGCGCTCGTGAGACACGGCAGAAGAATAAAACCATAACACGACCGTAAAGAAACTAAGATACAACATCCGCGGTTTCCTTAAGAGAGGTTTATTTCTGCTGATCCGTCTGGTATTATTGTTGTTTAAGTGAAAC